GACGATTCTCTTGGTCTAGCCTGGTTTTATCATTTCTGTTTTCCATGAGAGGTCACGGTGCAAATGTAAAGATTTTAATTTGCAGTGCTAACTGCGACAGCAGTAATTAAAGGTTCTGCTCCACTGAGCAGGTGAGAACAGCCTTGGAAATTCAAACCAAGAGGAATCTTGAGTTTCTGCAAAGGTTCTTGTGGGAGGCTTGGGAGTGGATGTGAGTGGTGGGGTGGGGAGGGGGGGAGGCACCCCTGCAGGTTCAGCATGGGTGCTCTGAGGGCTGGCATCCATCTGGGGCCCCCGAGCAAGGCTCCAAAAACACAATGCAGACAAGGGACGCCCATCCCCCACGCCAGTGACTAAGCAGAAGCCGCGTTCCTGTGGGCACTGGTGCTGGGTGGCCGGCAAGGCTGGCCCGTGCTCTCCCTGCCGTTGGCTCTCTGTGCCTGTCAGCAGCAGTCCTGGGGCCTGCCCCCTGCCACGCAACCCCCCCTCCCCGCCCCCGCAGCCCGTCGTGTCCCCTGCCCTGTGCCTGAGGGTGGCAAGAGGGCTTCCTTGAGGCCCCACTTCAGACCAAGCTGCCCAGATCCCCATGGCAGGCCCAGCCCCTCAAGGAGGCAAGATGGCAACTTCTCTCAATTCATCCCCGGTCTCTGCAATTGCTTGGGTGTTCACCGGTGCCCTGGCTGAGGGGACGGGAGGCTTATCGGTAACGGTAGAAAGCGTAGCAAAGCCAGGAGGGGCCTCATCCCGCCTTCCTCAAGGCAGGCTTGGTTCCCCTCCTGCCCTTCTCCAAATCTGTCCAAACAATATCATGTGCCTCTTTGGTCTGTTTCTCCACAGCTGCCCCCTTCCCCTGTGTCTCAGCCTGCCTCAAGGATCAGATTTCAGGCCTTTTTGTTCTTATTCCAACTGGCCCCCATCCACATCCCTCCTCCCCAGGATGCCGCACTCCCAGCTCTGCAAACCATGAGCACTGAGGGCCCTCAAGCTACCTCCTTGATGGACCCGCTTTCATCCCTGAGCAAATGTAAGTTCCATTCACCAGCGGCTGGTGGTAAAATTGAAGTCCTAACTGATTTTTGTGAGTATCTCCAATAAGCCTTCAGGGAGAAGAGCCCTAAGTTATGGAAACAAAATTCACCTCAATTAAGAACAGAGATGTCACCCAACCTTGGGAGCAGAGTGGGGAGATTTGGGGATCACTACAATCTAACACACCAGGGCTGGGTGTCCCGACTACAAAGAGTCCCTCCCTTCATAATTCCAGGTCCACATCCCTCATCTGGAACTTCAAACCCAAAAAGCTCGGAAAGCCTATTTTATTTTGGTAAAATTGGCATCAAAATTTATTTGGGGACAAAAATTGATGTGGACTTAGCTAAATATTCATATTTCTCCGCAAGAATAATGAAATGCTGCCCCAGGTTCCACCAGACGCTTGTGTGATATTTGGCAAATGCACCATATTACCTTTCTAAAGTCCCAAACGTTCTAAACTTGGAACTGCATCTGACCTCCGAGGTGGCAGATCCCAGCCCGGGGCCTGCACTAGCCCTGATTGACCACGAAGCGTGTGCCGGGCCCGGCTCTGAGCAATTGCAATTCAGCGCCTCCTTTGTCTTCCAGTGTCGCAAGAGACCCGCACTCCTCCTGGGCTCAAATGCAGCAGAGGCTCAGAGGGGCTGAGTGACATTGCTCCCGGCACAGAGTTCGGTCAGCGTCGGTGCCTGGACTTGAACCCCCCACGCCCTCGCTTCAGCTGCTACGCTAAACTGCCGCCCCGAAGCCAGATGGCACTTGCCTTTTCCCTTCAGTGCAAACAAATGGCCCACTGAAATCGGATCGTTTACTTAACTGGTCGAGTGAAATTGCCAGGGCTGAGAAATACGAGTCTACAAATAAAAAGGAGCTCCTCTAGACGACTGGACTTGGCTTTTCTGCTTACTCAAGAGTTGGGTTTGTCAGCTTACATTCAGAAAGCACTCTTTTCAAAAACCAAAATCTGGGTTAAAATGAAGCCCCAGTGCCTCTGGGGTAACCATTATCACACGTGGAGGTAAAACGAGCTAGTCTCCGTCACCATGGAGTAGGTCAGGAGGGTTTTCCGAGGCTCGGTTTGGCCAAGAACACGTTCCCCTGCAAGAGTGAGCAGGGCCGAGCTCTCAGGCCTTCAAGCGAATGGGGAAAGGCCATGAGAAGGAACAGCAGAGCTGCTGATGTGCCCAGAGGCCCACTCCGCGTTTTGGCTAGAAGAGTGCCATGGACTGAATGGGGAGCTGGGCGAGGGGCAGTGAGCTAGAGACCCCTGCCAGCGGGGCGGACACGGCCTGGAGCTGGCTCGATGGGGCAGAGCCTGGAACAGGGAGAACCCACGAGGCTAGTAGGTTCCACAACTGCTGTCTGTCTTGTCTGAAGAGAGCACTACTCATATTCTGTCCTGACACAGCGTCGGTTTTGAGAGCCACCTCTCAGCCCCCAGAAACGGGATCTGGAGACTCGGGGCCAGGAGTTAGTCTTAGTGATAGCAAATCTCCACTGGCAGGTACTTTGTGCGGCTGGGCCCCGTTCATCATGCCTCGGATGCATTAATGCGTTTAATCCTCAACCAACCTATCATAGCCTATCGCCCATTTTGTAGGAGATCCCGGCAGGAGCGGGAGACTCTGGACTTAGCAGCCCACGCACGGGGTTACACGTATGGGCTCTACAGACAGACAGACTCCCTTCTCTGGCCCTGAGCTGCTGCGTGACTGCTTTGTGCCTCAGTCTTCTCGGCTTTTCAGGGAGCGCTAAGGGCCTCTGTCTCTGAGAACTAAAATGAGAAAAGGCAGGCGAAGCACGGAGTGGCAAGCCCGGCCCGAGGGCACGGGCCAGCACGGGCAGGGAAGGCCCCTCGCGGCAGCAACCACCTCCCACTCGGGGAGCCCAGCCTCTCCCCTGTGCTGGTGATGGTCGCCTTGGGGAGCTTGGCGGCTGGGCTTTCTCCTGAGCACTTTCTCCAGCTCACCCAGGGAATCAGTTGGGTGTGATGTTCACGCCTCCAGGCATTAAGGATTCTCTCTCTGAGGCCACACAGTCAGGCTACAAACGTACCCCACTGAGGCCAAAAAACCCCAGAGGGCTCACAGTGTTAGATGGTGATGTGTCCCCAGGCCGAAGCCCTTGCCTGCCAGGGTGAGAGCTCCAGTGCTGGAGCTCTGTGAAAACAGATGGCAGGGGGCCTACGGCGAGCTCAAACACAAGTGCTCCTGGAGCACGGCACACACGGGCCTGCTGCTGGCCGGTTCCTCTCACCAAGAACCGGTGCCCTGGCGTGCAGCTAGCTCTCTGCTTGCCGATGCTTCGTGAGGCCCGGAGGAAAAAGACACGGATCCTATCCTCCAGGGGCTGCCCCGGTCACAGGCATCCAGGGCTCTCAGAAGAGAGGTCAGCCGCGACAGGTGCCTCCCCCTCAGGCCCGGTCCCGGGCCAAGCTGTCCTCCGCGGCTGCTCCACAGAAGAGGGAGGCAGCGTGGGAGACAGAAGTACTCAGGGCGGAAGGGGAGAAGCTTCCTGGAGGGGAGGGCGCCTGAGCCTCTGGAGCTGTAGGAGTGAGACAGGACAGAGAAGGTGGGGAGGGACAGCCAGGCACAGGGGATGGAAGGAGTAAGGCCCAAAATGCAGAGTGGATGATAGACGTCAAGTGCCAGACGGGGCCCGATGAACACTGAGTCCAAGAAGGTAGCTGGAGCCAGGTGACGGGCCTCCGGAAACTTCTGAGCAAATGTGAAACACGATCAGATTCCTGTTACATCGGGTCTCTTGAAGGTAATGTTTTGAGTGATGGCTGGTTTATTGGGAAACCACTTTAAAAGTCAACTCTGAGTTCAGACAAAGAACCAAGAGGGCCTGAACTCGGGTAGGGCTGAGACCATGGGAAGGAGGGACCAGGATGGACAGTGCCCTGGGTAGGCAGGCATCTGACATGGTCCTCAGCGACCCCTGCCTCCTGGTATTCACACCCTCATGCTTGATGTCTAATGAACAGAATACAGCAGAAGAGATGGGACGTCACTTTCAAGATGAGGTTCTAAAGACCATGCCCTCTGACTTGCAGGCACTCCCTCTGCCTCTCTTGCTGGCACGTTCTGTCTTGCTTACTCAGATGAGGCCGGCTGCCATGTTGTGAGATGCTCTATGAAGAGGCCCACATGGCAAGGAACCAAGGGAGGCCGCTAGCCAGCAGCTCATGAGGAACTGAGGCCTCAGTCCAACCTCCTGCAAGGAACTGCTTCCTGCCAACAACCTCGGGAGTGAACTTGGAAGCAGAACCTTCCTGGTTGAGCTGGAGATGAGTGCAACCTTACGAGCGACTCAAGGCCAAAGACCCAGCTAGGTGATGCCAGGACTCCCGGCGCAGAGAAACTGTGAGGTGATATACGTGTGTTGTTTTAAGCAGAAGTTTTGGAGTAATTTGTTACCCGGCAAGAGATAACCAACACGGGCAGGGGTCGGAGCAATGATGGGGGGCATCTGCGGTCGACACCACCCAGGAAGGACCAGCTGAGTCTGGTGATCAGATTGCAGGAGACGAGGGAGAGGGAGAAGTCACAGTGATTTTGAGAAGAGCACAGGCTCTGGACTAAGACTTCCTGGTTTCCAGCTCCTGCCCTGCCCCTGGCTATGTGACTCTGGGCAAGTCATTTCAACGCTCCGAGCCTCAGTTTCTTTGTAGAATGGAGATGCTAAGAGTAACTACTTTCTCTGTATCTGTCCTTTTCATTTAGAACCTGCCTCAGTGTCCAGTGCAGTGCTGAAGGGCACACTGGAGCTGCTCGGCAGAAGTTTGCTGTGCCATTTCTAGGAGGCTCAGTGTGCGGCCTTATGCCAGCAGGGACAAGATTTAAATGCTTTGGCGCAATTTCCTTGCATCCTGCGAAGCCTCCACTAGCCCTGTGTGAGGGAACACGCCGCACGGTCCGGTGCAGGGACTTGTCTCCCCTGGCTCCCTCCCCTGGCAGCACCTTCTGGGGGCACTTTTCCTCCCAGAGAAGGTAAGTGGCCTGCACAGGAACAGAAAGCATAACCTTGGCCTCATTAGTACTGCACTTGGACCACACGGAGTCAGCTGGCTTAAACAGACTTTTCCAGAGTCGAGTCCAGTCTCAGAGGGGACTACAGGCTGATTTGCCTCCAGAGCCAGGTTACCGATAGCACAGACCACGGTTCTTATTTGCACCAAAACCAAGGAACGCGACCAGACGTGAGCTCGTCTTACCTGTCTGGGCAGAGAAGGCATGGAGTCCGGGGCCACTGACCGCTGAAAGCGCTGGGGCTGCTGCATCATCTGCTGCAGGAGGAACGAGGAGTGGTCAGGCTGCGGCTGCTGCAGCTGCAAGGTGGCAGTGGTGGTGGACGGGGCGGTGGCGGAGGGGGCCGGCGGCGGCTGCTGCAGGTAGCGGAGCAGGGACTGCTGCCTAGAGGTGGCAGGCACGGAGGGCACCTTCTGGGGGCCCGGCTCGGAAACGAAATGCGACAGGGGCTTGGTGTTGCCAAAAGTAAATGGCTCCGGGACTCCCGGGCTGGGGCTGGCCAGCCCCTGCTGCATGATCATGCTCAGGGTTTTGGGTGAGTTGGCGGTCACGGGCTTGAAGATGCTTGTTGGCTGCGGGGGGGGGGGCGGCGGCGGCGGCGGCGGCTGAGTTAGCGCGTTGCCGGAGGGGGTGACGCTCCGGATCAGGGAGCACTGCGGGGTGAAGGACTGCTGCGGCAGGCCCGGGCTGGACAGCTTCTCCGGCCGGTAGGGCGGGGAGGGCCCCGGGGTGCTGGTGGGCAGAGCGGACAGCAGGTGTCCCGGCGGACTTTTGACACTAGAGGACACCAGGTTGGCCAGAAGGGAGCTCTGCGGGCTGAACTGCGGCTGCTGACTGAGAGCGGGGCTGGGGAGCTTCTCGGGAGTGTAGAGCATGGCGGGCCCAAGGGCGGCGCTGCCGCTGGATGCCATGCTGGCGAGTAAGGCGTTGGGCGACGCTTGGAAAGCGCTCCCCGGCAGGCTGCCGGACGCCATGCAGGACACCATGAGGCTCTGCGGGCTGAACTGCGGCGGCGGCGGCGGCGGGGGCGGCGGGTGCGGCGATGGCACGGGGCGGTAGGACGGGGAGAGGCCCGGAGGCGGCAGGCCCGACCAGCTGGGGCTGGGCCCGGGCTGCCTCGTGGCGGACCCCTGCTTGCTGGCCGCCAGCGCCTTCAGCTGGTGGGCGTGATGCCACTGAGGCACCGGGAGCGGGGGCAGAGTGCCGGGGAGCACCCCCTGGACCTGGCTCTTGGCCTGTGCCGCCGGAGAGCTGGGCGCGGCCACCTGCTTACTGCTGGAGGGAATGGCGTAGCCGATCCCCGCCGGGGAGGGCGGGACTTGCAGCGCGGCGGCAGGGAGCTGGCTGCAACTGGAAGCAAACTCCTTGCTGGCACCCAGGCTCTCCAAGGGCGGCATCTGAACCGGAGGCTTGGCAGTTGTCCCCAGGGTCACCTGCGGGGGCTCTAAGACCAGTGGCTCTTCTGGCTTGCTCCCCAGGATCTTCTCGAGATCTAGGTCATTTGGAGAAGGTTCTTGGATTTTTGTTAGCTCCTCCAGGAGATCCTGAAGTTCCTGGTCCACAGCCGGCGCGCTGTTGGCTTTGTCATAGTAGGGACCAGTGGGCCCTTTCAGTCCCACTTCCGCAGCCGGCGGCACCACGAATGGTGAGCCCATGACATTGCCATTCATGGGATTCGCCTCGAGTGGCAACGAATGGCCCGTTACTCCCACAGCCGAGGGACTGGGGTTCATGGTTAGCGGAGGAACCTGCAGCTCCGCACAGGACGTGCTGGGGTGGGCGCTCGGGCCCATAGAAAGGGTAACGTCTTCCAGGCAAGGCCTCTTGATTTTATTAGGGTAACCCCCGTCAGCCATGCCTGGAAACTGGAAATTATCTCCTTCCTGTCTCCTCTTAATGGTTCCCTGTGGCAGAGAGAGAGAGAGAGAGAGAAAGAGAGAGGGAGAGAGAGGAATTTTTACAAAGCCTTGGCACATTAAAGCTAATGAACAGGAAACTTGCAAAACAGAACATCTCTCAGTTTCGAGACTTATAGTTGTCAAAACTATACAATACGGCCTATTTTGGGAACCATAATGCTTGCTTCTTTGTTGCTACGTTCCATTTGAACTGTCTTGTTACACTTCAAATTAGACATTATGCTGTCTGTGTACGAAACACCACAGGAAGTCCCACAAAGGGTCTTCTCTGCCCGAGTAAGGGGGAGCTCAGCTCAGCTGTGCGGAAGCCACAGAATGAACTGTGCCCCAGACGGGCGTTTGAGGGCACACTGGGAATACTTCAGGTACTTCCGATTCCCACCTGTCTACAGAGACCCCCGTTGCTAAAATGGAAAAGCGTAACATAGACGTTGAACTTGTAGGTTGCCTCCCTGACTTGGTTAAATGCATCAGACTGTGGTGATACAATGGACCACAACAGAGCCTTTGGAGGAAAGTAGATCCGGCTGTGTACTCTCGGGTAGCTGTCCGAGCTATACTGTTTAGGGGAAACACAAGATGCAGACCTGTCAGTGGGGCACGGGTTCCACACACCTTGCTAGGTGCATACAAAAATCGCTTGGAAGAACATACAGGCGACCATTTGGAGTAGTCATCTCTTGGGGATGACTGGCGAGGCCCTTTCTATTCTCTACGGTTTGGTATTGCTTGTTTGTTTTTACTGAGAATGACTTATAACCACGCCCCCCTCCCCCCCTCAAAGCATAAAGCTATCTAAATAAGAAATTCCTCTCTGCAGATGCATCCTCAGGTTGGGGAGATATGGAACAACAGGAAAAGGACCCAATCTGCGATCTGCACCTTGGGGGAGCTGCTCACCATTTATAAAAGCATAGCCTTTGGGAACAAAGCAGTTAGTGATGCAGTATTTCCTACTCGTTCAAGGCTTCGTACAATCATCTGTGGCTGTCATGTTAATGACCGTGACCTGCAAGTAGAGGGAAAAGCGAGTGGGGTGGAGTGGAGGAATGTGTGGGAAGAGAGGGGCTTGGAAAGCACCTACAGCCAACAGTGGAACAGATACACGGTGGACCCTTGAAAATGGCCCCAAAACTTAACTACTAACAGCCTACTGTTGACTGGGAGCCTTACAGGAACATAGTCGGTTAACATGGATTTTGGATGTTATATGTATTATTACTGTATGCTTACAACAAAGTAAGCTAGAGAAAAAGAAAACGTTACTAAGAAAGTCATAAGGAAGAGAACATACATTTACGGTACTGTCCTGTATTTATCGAAGAAAACTGCATATCAGTGGACCTGTGTAGTTCACACCTGTGTTGTTTAAGGGGCAACTGTATTTCTCTTGATGCAATTTTTCATGTAAGAAACCCCTGTTTAGCTTTAGAAATCTCACTGGGACATTTGTTGTCGATCCTTTGACGTCCCCTCATGTTTGGCTCACTGGTGGGGGCGGGGGTAGGGTCAATGTGTGTGGGGGGGCCACCTGCTAACACCCCACTGGCCATGACTCTCACGACAGAGTGAACATCAAAAGAGATCCCCCAGGGCTGCACATCTCAGGCTTTGGTGCTCACCAGATTCACTTAGACACATCCAGATTCCCAGGGTCTCCCACACAAATGAACTGTTTCAGTCTCATCCAGAGCAGCGTCCAGGGATGTTTTCAAAGCTCCTGGGCTGATTCTGATTCTGATTCTAAATGCATCATCTCATGGTGCTGCTCTGAGTAGTAAGCAAAAGAAGCAGATTCTGTGGTGCCTAGTAAATCCTCCCTAACTGGTGGCTGCCATTTCCAAGGGCAGCCATGGAAGGGCCTTGGAAGTCCAACCCTGTCCTAGGAGAGACAGGGGCCTTGACACCCAGGGAAGGGGAAGGGCCCCGATGGCAGGACACGGTCTCATTTCCACAGAAGGGGTCCCACCAGCTAGAGTGAGGGAACTTGCCTCCGTCTTTGCCTTTTCTCTGCAACGTGAACAAGGGCACTTTGAGGGGCAGCTCTGCCATCACATCCACCTGGGGCCTCGGGACTCGGGGCCGGCAAGAAAGGGCTGAGGAGGGGGGAGCAGGCACAAGAAGAGGCCAACCCATTCATCTGTGCCCACTCTTCCGTCCAGGGACAGTGGACACTGTATCGGCCCACAGCAAGTGTTCAGTAAATAGCAGCTGAATGAATCAACGGACAAATGAACCCAAATGACCTGGCGCGCAGGGAGCTCTGCTACGTGTTTTCCTGGCCATTCATTCAGTCAAGTACGGGGCAGCCAACAAACGAGTCACTGAGTCCCAGACTGAAATTCTGTTTCGTCGACTTTCTCTCAAGGAGTTCAAAGAATTCCAGTATATTGGCAGTAGAGATGGATGAAATGGATCAATAAGGGATGAGTGAGGACGGGTGTTACCCCAGATCCCCTGCAGTGGCCGGGCTCAGTGTGCTGGGTGCAAAGACACCGGCGTCCGTGTGGCCCAGGCAGGGGGAGGATGGGGTGGGAGGAACGGGACGGAAGGCAGGCCGGGGGCTGTTAGCTGCAGCAGCCTGGAATCCCTGGCAGACTCTGTGGGTTCTTGGACCTTTTCCTCAGTCGTTCGTCTGCCGTTACTTTGTTGGGAGGTGGGGGAAGGCTGGGCACGACCACGGGATGCTATAGCTCCTAGGAGGAACCACTGGCAAGGGAAAGCAGTCTCTCACTCTCCGAAATGAGAGGGCCCGTGCATCCAACTCTTCGGGCCCCCGAGCCAATGCTCCCCCCTCGGTTCCAATGCTGGGGCCCAGCCGGCTCCTCAACAGCAAAGCGGACCCCGGGGCGCCCCTGCAGGGTGTTGAGGGCTAGCCCACTGCTGGCGAATCCAATTTGCCCGAGTGGGTGCTGCCCTTGCTGCTCGAAGCTGGCAGCTGGACGCCTCACTGGACACTTTGGGAGGATGCCTGATCAGGGGCCGGGCTGGCCTTGCTGTCCCTTGGGGCGCAGTGCGGGGCCGGTGCCGGCTGAGGCGTGGCTTCAACAGGGCAGGCGGGGGGGTCTCTTTTGCGCTTCCCTTTTTCAATGGACTTAAGAGAGACTTGGCTTTGTTGGAGGCCTCGGCCCCGTGTTTCGGGTTTTATGCTGAGGGCTTTCAACAGGCAGCCTGAAGCACCCTGGCTGAATGGCCAGAACCCCAGCCAAGCCTGCACGAGGCCAAGGGAAGGCGGCTGTGTTCACACAGAGGTGCTCGCCGAGGCATGGAGGTCTACTGACTTCTGCCCCTAGCTAGCTACAGGCTGGCTTCCGTGCCTCCCGTCGTGCCGTCCCAGGATGTGTTACTCATCTCTATGTCCAACAGCCAGCTGGGCTCCCCCCCCCTACCCACCAGTGCCACACTGGTGCCTTGGCCGGGTCACCTGGGCCAGCGGGTGCTGGGCTGAGGTCGGCGTCACTAATTAGACTAATCCCAAGGCCACCATTTTAGAGCAAGTGCAACGGAAGCTGCTAGTTTGGAACGACTTCCCTCTCAATGTCATGTTGTTGGTGGCGGGTCCCTCACTAAGCTTCCAGACCCTTCTAAAAAACCCTTCCAGCTTTGCACGTGTGCCGTTTTCCAGCCGGTGGACTCTATGACAGCAAACTATTGGTCCCAGCTAGCAGCTCTTTCCTCAGGCCACGTATTGTACATGGTCCCGCTAACTGCGAGATTTTTTTTTACATATAATAAATCAGAAAAAAATAAGTAAATCAGTGGACAGTGACAGGATTTCTAGAGATCACATCTCAACCTTCTCTTTTTACAGAAAACAGAATGGGATGTGATTTGCTTGTGGTCACACAGCTGGTTAGTGGACAAGAACACTAGACCCCAGTTGTCCCAACTCCCAGCCTGAGCCCTCACAGGTCAGCCTTTGGTGGTGGGGGGGTGGGCAGGGTGGGGCGGGGAAGTAAGGGAGGTTCCCTGGTATCTTTTAGAAAAGAATGACCATCTCCATCCCCGAATGCCTGCAGAGTCCCATTTCATAAGCAGGCCGACAGAGCCACCAATGTGATCCACACAACCATATGAACATTCATTAAAATGCATTTGAAAGCATGTGATGGCTTCCCCACCCCCTAAATAATGAGAAAAGTAAGGCTACCCTTCTGATAGGGGCCAAGTTCAGCTCTGAAGTCAGTATTATTTCTGGTTCTGTCTGAACAATGACATGGTGATTCTTCCCTTTCTACATTTTTAGTCCAGAAGGACAAAAAGGGCAAGGACTTCTTGGAAAAGGTCTAGATTATGAGAGTATAATCCGGCCTCATAAAATGGGCATGAGAAGAACAAAGAATATATGTATGTGTGCAATCTAAATGTGTATATTCTAAATATATATACATGTAAAATACATAAATATATTACTCTTCCCAAAGAAATCTAGCAGGCTGTTATAAACACTTAATTTTGGAAACTCTAGCCAGAGGTTTAACATGGGCACCAACAGAAGGCCAGCAGAAATATGCACGGTTCCTGCTGGGTAAGAACATAGGGGGCCAAAGGTGTCCAGGAGAGATCAGTTCAGGGAGCCTCATTTTCCCTGCAGAGGTGGCCGGGCACATAGGGCCTGGACGAAACTGTCAAAAAGGTGGAAATCACCTGTGGCTTATTAGCTTCCGCCTTCTCCCCCCCCCCCCCCCACTGGTGCCTCCCACAGGTCAGCTTAGGCCACTCTACTGGTACTTCTCTCAGTCTCTCTCTCAAGTACGTCTGTACTCCATCAAATCCTTCTTCAGCACTATTCTACGTTCCCGGAGTCTCCAAAAACCTGACGTTGGCCAACTAGATTGGATCTCAATCTTGGAGATCCTTGGAGACAAGGATGGCCCCTAGTAGACTTGCTCAGAAGGAATAAAGACATCGTGGGGCACGGTAGAGGTAGGAAGGGAGGGAAGGAAGGAATATGCCCGGATATACACGGGGGATGAGATGAGTACCCAGGTGTATAGTCTATGTTTCATGTGCATGTTTGTTTTTCAGAAAAATCTCCTCGCAAACTGAAACTGACCTTTTTGTAGCTCAAACAGGATTTTCAGCATTTCCAGAATTGCAAGACGGGAGGCTTTGGACAAGTCCAGGGTGGCTGGGAATGGCAGGGAACCCTGAATGCTGACTGGCTTCAAGAGGAGTCGGTTTGTCTCAAGCACGAATCTCTGCTAATAGGTGGTCTGGAGCAAAAGTCTCAACCTACAAATGGGGAATTTGTTGGTGCCCCTGCCTTGCCCTGAGCCAGCAGAAACTGCAGCCTCAGCATCCGACGCAGGCAGCGGCAGGCAGGGGGGTGGGACAGAGCCCTGGAGGAGGCACCGGAAGACCTGCCTTTAAGTCCTAGCTCCTCCATTTGCTGTGTGACTGTGGGTGAGTCACTCCCCCTCTCTGAGCCTCAATATCTTCTTCTGTGAAATGGGTCCTGGGCCTGCACTGTGTGTGCCTCACGGCATCACTGAAGCATGCGGTGACAATTAGCGCTCTCGTTCTCCAGGCCCTGGGTCCCCGTGCTGCCCCACTGCCCTCCAGCATAGGCCTCGGCTGACCCGCCGACAAATAAGGACATGCCCACTAGAAGTGGGGGGAGGCGAGCACCCCACCCCCGCTGCGCACCGCTGCCCGCACTCTGGGCCCCGGCCCGCTGCCATGGCACTCTGCCGCCCCAACCTGAGGACTTGCGGCTTGAGCAAGCGTCGGCCAGAGCCATCTAAGCAGCAAGCCCAGCAAATGCATTTTCTAGAACTGCATTCTCCCTTTCTGTAGTGGACACACGCCAGTTGCAACTCTTAAGAATGGGCCCAAGCCCATAGGCGCATGTAGCTTTATGGAGCTCGTAATTCATATTGTTCTCCGCCCCCACCCCCCCCCGAGAAGACCTGAAGTGTTCTGCCACCCAACACGGGGTTCTTGAGCACTAGCCTTGCACTCCTAGCTTGTCAGAACTTCCAGACCCTGAGAGACAGCCTGGTACCTCCCACTCACATTAGGACTGGTGAGGCCTGGAGCCAGGGAGAGATGTGCCCATGGGCCAGCTTCTCTGACTCTCAGGTTGGCCTTTCTTTGCAGGAAGAAACGCTGCCCTGCTTTCCTCCAAACACATTCCCATGTAGCATCACTAGTGGGAAAGGATGATCACTTTTGGGGAGAACGGAAAGATGCAGTCAGTCTCAAACGGTTGGACACATTTGGCAAGGCGGGCCTACAGATGAAGCAGGTGCTGCCTGGGGCTGGAACGGAAGCTGAGGGTCGAAGGCAAAGGCCCTGCCCCGGCTCAGATAATCCTGTCTGTGCAGGACCCAGGTGAACAAGCTTCATCTGCGTGTCACTGGAATTAGGCTGATGAGCCCAGAATCATGCCAAGAAGGGGAAAAGCGGAGGCAGAGCCGAGGCTGGAGGCCACCCACTGATGGTGGGGGCCACCAGGGCCACGGGGCAGACCTGGGTGTCTGCGTACAAAGAGGGCAGAAGGGCCTCCAGTGGTCGCCGATGCCCAGCCTCCTCACTTCCCTCTGGGCTGTGCTTCTAAGGACCCTGTGGTATGACTTCTCCTAGGTCCCTACCCCACTCTGGGCCTCAGTTTCCCCAGCTGTAATGGGACCGCGTCCTAGGTTCAGTAAGCTAACGCTGTGACTTTCTTCCTGGACTGCTCCTGTAGGGAAATGATGACTTCTCTTCTCCCCCACCCAAGAGGGTCTCTCTCCCTGGGGTGACAGTAGGCCAGGGGCAGTCCAATGGCCCACAAGTGCCTTGGCCATGGGCAAGATGTGCGTATCGATGCCAACTGCAGACACTCTTACAGAAAGCACAACCTCCTCCAATCCAGTGGGGGTCAAGTTATGGTCCCCCCCAGATATCTCTATGACTTTTTAGTAAGGAATTACTTTGTGTGTGTGTGTGTCTGCGGGCTAGCAGTGTTAGTCCTGAGCATAGCAGGTCTGCACTAGTTGAATCAAGAAAGGCAGCCTGCGATTTTGGTCAAGTGAGCCGTGCTTACTTGCATATTCCACTAGGGTCCTACCGAGTCACCAGTCGCCAGGAAGGCTGCCAGCTCCCCAACCACCTCGAGGGGCATGTGAGAATCAGTGGTGCTCTTTTAAAGCTTGTTCCTGGAGATCTATCCAGAATGAGAACTCGGCAATGGGCTCGGTCAGTCATCTGGGCCGATGTCCCCCACCTGCCTGCCCTTAACTCCTTCACCAGCCACTGCCACCACTTTGCATCTCTCCAGTCGGAGTCCGGCACATGGGAAATGGCCAAAATTGAAGAGAAGGGGACTGAGTTCACAGAGAACACCGTGCCAAAGGCACTACGGTGCTTCCGATTTTCCAGAGGTCATGAGCTCCTATTTTTGATGGCAAAGCCCCCTGGCCGGAGTGAGGCCCGGCCGCCAGGGAATGCCTCTAGAACAGTCTGGGCACCTCCTCAGGCCTGCCGCTTTGCTCAGGGTCACAGAGCTATCGTTTCCCGTGCTCTAGGTCAGCTCTTGGTCTACCTCACAGCTCGAAGAAATCTCTGCTCCTGAGAAAACACTCTTTTCCTAGAATGCTCCAGAGAGGTAGAAGATTTCAGAGGTGAGGAAGGAAAGTCCCCACCAGGAGGCTAGGCATTTTTCATAAAAGCCGAACTTCCCTTCATCCGGAGGGTGACAACACCAGTGGAAAACACAGAGAGACATGAACAACACCCAAGACCCCACCAGCACTGACACTCCTTAGGCTGGCAGGCCGTCAAGTCTGGTGGACATGTCGTTAATGTCTCTCTGTTGCCCTGGGCTGTGACTGACCCTGTCCCTTGCTTTCCACATCTCTACCCAGAGCACATACACAGCTGGATTAGCACTCAGAGCCACCCAGGAAGGTGGAATGCAGCTATCCTGGTGGCTCTGAAGCCATTTGGTAGGCTCTGCCTCCATACCCCGAAGCCCCCAGTGAGGCCCCCAGTCTGGCTGATGACCACACATTGGACGGGAGGCTCTTATACCCTCTCCCTTGCTGTCTGGCCCCTGGCTCCCTAGGCCTTCCTTTCACAAGTGCCCCCATGTTGTCCGGGACTCCAGATGTGGGCCCCATCTGGCAGGGGTTGGCTCCTTGCCAATGCTGATGGGATTGAGAGTGGGGACAGTGGGGAAGCCCCTGGTCTGGGCCCTGATGGGCTGAGTGAGTTTTTAGGGGGGCTGTTGGCGTATTTCAGGGATGGTACTTCTGGTGGCGCTGAGTTGGGGTAACAAGTAGCCATTGATAATCCAAGAGCTGGAAACAAGTCCTGGATCATTTATGAGCCGGAGCAGTTTGAGCTGCGTGGAAATCATGCACCACATGGGGTAGTCATGGCACTCCATTCAGATAATCCTAGAGGCTTCTACCTCTGCTCAGGTGAGTGCAGGAGGGATTATCTCTCCTTACAGCAAGTCCCCACTGGATTGCAGATGACAGAGTCAAGGCCATGGTGACAGTCCTGATTTCGTGGGAGGCACTCCTCCCCATTGCTGGGACACCAACTTGAGTAGTTTAAACGGGGCAAAGAGAAAAATGGTTGTTTATTGCTCAGTACCTTCCCCTCCGTTCCCAGGTACAGATCTCTACTTTGTGGGGACTGAAACTTAACACAGTTTGGGGGCCCCTCTTTAGGAAAGAGAATATAACATTAAAGGAACAAAATTAGGGGTGCTGGCTGGCCCAGTCAATGGAGTGTCAGACTCTTGATCTCGGGGTTGTGAGTTTGAGGTCTATGTTGGATGTAGAGATTACTTAAAAAAAAAAAAAGAACAAAATTAGGTACCAGGCCTTGGAAGGTTTGAAGGCAAGGAGACTTCACTTTGGCCTGTGCCCCAACAATGAGTTAAGTAAAATGGCAACAGGCTTTTGAACAAGGCAGGAATTTCCTTGCATGAGAAACCAAACAGCTGTGTAGGTGGGAGAAGAATCCAGAGCCACCTGGTTAATCTCGTGCATTCTGAAGGTCACATGCTTGTGAATAAGCACATTTTAGCAGCTGAGTGCCAACTTGTGACTCTAAGATCTACTAACTGTCTGCAGATGTACCAACCACAGTTAGTAAAATTTAGAGCCAGGCTGTTTGAGCTCCGACACCATGGATGCAGAGGCTGGGAAGGGATATGGGATAAGGAGCATCATGGTTTTCCCAGCCTTATGGAGCGAGGCATGATTGACAAGTAAAAACTGTATCTGTTTAGGTTATACAATGAGATTTTTTTTAATGATTTCGTATGCATATACTCTGTGAAATAATTTAGGTGTTTTTTTTTTTTTTAAATTAAGGTTCAATTCACAGAGCATTTAATGAACCTTTTTTAAGTGTGCGATTCAGTGGCGCTTGGCTCGCTCACAATGCTCAACAACCAAACTGGGGATAGTAGGGCCCACTGCACAAATCCGTTACAAGATCACATGCGTTTAGAAATGTAAAGCGAGCATAGTACCCAGCATGGTGCACAGGCCAAATAAATATTCTCTCTTTTTCCACTCTTGAAAATGCAAACACATTCTTGGTGGTCCTAAAATAGCCTTTAACATGGTTTACTCAGCAGCATTTGTCATTCGAGGGAGATCTGCCTTTTCTCATTGGCTGTACTTCTGAACAGCTGTGGGCAAGGCTAACTTTTGTAAACCAAATCATCATAAAATGCAACAAGAATTTGCCATTGGAAGAAAAAGAATTTGCCATTGAAAGAAAAGCCTCAGTAAATCCTTTTACGAAGTCAAAGATCCCTCATCCAAACTTATGTGCTTTTTAAGGTGTGCACTTGGGGAGAAGAGGCTTTTTTGGTAATGAATCCTAATTTGATTTTGCCCACAAACACATGCTGATGTTCCGTAGCCCCCAAGTGCACAGCAACAGGCGTGGGTTACATAGTGAAAATAATGACAATTTAAAATATTCATTTCTTTCCCTCTATATAAGTGCCTGTGATCACATCATGGAATGGGTCATATAACCTAAAACATTTCCCCTGCCTCGGGGTGTGTGTGTGTGTGTGTGTGTGTGTGTGTGCACGTGCGCGCACGTGCACGAGCGTGTGGAACGGTGGGGCGACAGTGATGGTAATGATTGGGGGTGTCCCTAAGGATAGCTCCTTTTTGCTCTACCTCTCTGTTAGAAGCTCCACTGGCTGAGCCCGGGGAAGAAGACTCACCCTGAATTAGCAGAAACCTCAAAACTGTCTCCTTGCAGACATTTATAATGATCTCTGTCCACCCAGAAACCTGAAGCTGAATTGCTGGTGGAAGCATGGGAGATTTCTGTTTGTTAAAATGCTGCCAATAAAGTAATTTTATGTCAGATTTAACTACAGGAAAGGGCAAGGCATTTCTCAGTTCCTTAGCTGTCATGAGGCTAAAATAAATAGGATGGACAGCAGTCGGCCACCGTACACTCAGCTCTTTGAAGCCATATACTCAGAAAGCAGATGTTGGGGGCTGGCTTCCTGGAGGTATTTTATAGTGGCCAAGTTAATTGTTCTAACCCCCAAAGGCTTGACTTAAAGGGCAAAAAGAGGCAAGAAAATGTTCAACTTTCCTGACAGTGTCCAACAGGCAGTCCTATCACTAGACAACTTAGGCACCAAAAGCTCATTCTAGAAAAAGAGGCAGTTAGAAAGTTGGCCCCAGGCTTCTGCCCACTAACTGTGCAAAGCAAGGCTGTCTTGGGGGCCCCAAAGAGAAAACCCTTAGAAGGAGCACAGCCCAGGGAGAGAAGCGGGGCCGCAGCCCGAGAAGGCCCTGCGGGGGAAGCTCCTGGCACGTCCCAGGAAGGCGGTGGATTAGAACTTGTCTGCGGCGGGAACGATCTGCTCAACTTGTCTATGAAAGGCCTCTGGATGCTGACAGGTCAGGGAGAAATGGAAGTTGTCGGAAGAACCAGGAACAGTCACTGAGGCAGGGACCGCGGAGGAGAGGCAGGGGGACTGAGCGGGGGACTGAGCCAGCTGTGGCATCGGAGAGGGAGAGGAACCCTGGCGGGGGGGTGGGTGGGGCGTGAGGATCGGGGATTCTCGCTCAGGCGGTACAGAGGAGTACCCGCTTGTTAGGAGAAGCTGTGGCTTCGGAGAAGATGAACCAAAGCCCAGTGACCTGGATCAGGATACGGCGAACGTAGTCCGTAAAGACCCGAATGGTAACTATCTCAGGCTTGGCGGGCCACGCGGGCTCCGGTGCGGTTCCGCAGTAGACAATATGCTCCTGGCCGGACGTGGCTGTGTGCTAATAAAACTTTACAAAAACAGCCTGCCGGCTGGATTTAGCCCGTGGGGCTGGAGTTGGCCAACCCTTGACCTAGAGCCTGGGCTGAGCATCTTCCCCCAGGGAAATCCGCTATTTCCAAATTGCCCTCCCTTCACTGCAGGGGGCCGCGGAAGTCTACTTTTGACAAGAGTGGCAGGCGACATTCTCAGAGCTGAAAAGCTTCAATATTTTGACTGTCGCCCAAGTTAGGTGAACCATGTCTGAACTGGGTCTGAACTGGCCAGGTATGTAGCAGTCTCAAATGCCATGTTTCGCCTTCGCTGATGACAGGGCACCCACCTGCCTCGCTCTCCCAGCCTCTGTATACTTGTGAACAACTCGCATCTTGTCTGCCAGATTCAAGCACCCCCTCTTCCCTCAGGCCTTCAGGGGTCTCTATGATAAGACAGCTTCACCTTCTACCTCTTTCCCTCACAGCCCCATGCTCTGGCCAACCTCGAGGTCGCCCTGTTCGGCCTGCCGCTCTCTGAAAGCAAGGACCATTTCCTCCCCATCTCTGTACCCCCAGAGCACCTAGCCGGCATCTGCAGGTTTGAATCAACCATTGGAGCAAAAGGTTTCCTGCAAATTATCCTGTTCTTTCTGTTTCTAAGCACAAGGCCAAGAGACAACCGCTTCTCAGAAAGTGTGATTAAATTCACTAACTGGACTAATAACCTTGGACATGCTCCTTCTCCCTTGTGTGTCCGTGGCCTCTTATGTCCAGCACAGGGGCTAGCCTGAATGATTTCTAAGGGACCTTCTGGCCAAGAGGAACAGTGGCTGCTGCTTATTGATCATTTACTATGTGCCTGGGCCTGAGCCTTGAGTG